ACTGTTTAAGTAATTCTGACTTTTGGTCTTGTAATTCAAGTAGTGTCACAGAGTAACGTACATACGACAAAAACAAAAATCCAACAGTGAGAAGATGGAAAACAGCAAAAAAAAAAATCTCATAAGTTGCATTCAATCTTTTTTATGCATCACATACAGAATTCTACATAGATTTTTTAAAAATATCAGGACTATAAGTTAGTCTAGAAACATAAAAACCTGCTTTTTACTCCTTCTAGTTCATAGAGATTGAGCTGCCATAACCTTCAGGCAAATCCAGTGCAAAGTACACATAGCAATAAATTTGCTACAAAATCCAGGTATCCTCAAGCTCTAAAATGGAATGTGCATTTATAAGAATACTATCAATTTCAATTTAATAAATACAATATTTTCTAATTCAGTTGGAGAGGTACATGCTATCTCACAATCCTGAATAAAGTAAATGGTTAAACAAAAGGCAAATCAATGGGTTAGACTTTACAGACAAGTAAAGAGGGGTGTCAACTGTATTGAATTTAAAAGAATTATTTTGAATTACTATTCATTTAGATTATGTACTGTGAAATTTTCTGTGAACTTTTCACATTTTCTGTCATTGTTTTCCAGTGCTTGAATTGTTAACATAGCATTTCTCTGATATCTTAAGAGCAGGAACTTCCATTTGTAAAGTATGATAGTCCCAAACTTCAGGGATTGGAGTTAATGTTCTAATAATTTGGAAAAGGAGTTTTTGCCCTAGATCTTAGGTGGATGTACATTATAGGCAAATATCACTTAATTTCTAGTCTTCCAAAGCTTCTGCGTATGCTGCTTTTTAGTTTAGTAAGCGGAATTATGAAACCCAATCTGTTTAATTTGTATGGGCTTTTTCTCTCACAAGTGTTGAGCATTCATGGCTTCCAATGACTGAAGCAACAGCACCTGTTTAGGATGTGAAAAGTAAAAAAAAAAAAGGCCAAAAGTGATGGTGATTAGTTCAGAAGGAAGATGCTAACATACTTTTGACTGGTTTTCATGAGCAATAAAAAAATTTGACCATCTCTGAAAAGGAAAAAAAAGTGGGAGAGCCTCACAAATTTAAAATTCCAATTTCAGTGTCCTGCTTCTCTAATGGGACAGTAGTTATATGAAGGGAGCATCCACTTCCCCCATCAAAGTATGATGCAAATTAGTGATATACAAAGAAATGAGTGCACAGAAGCAGCAAGCAGCAGAATGCAAGCACAACTGTAATGGAAAGGAAGCATCTCTCTCAAGCTGGCTCTGTTGCTCCATATGGTTTTAAATGCTGAGGGTCAGCTCTGCTGTTGGAGAAAATGAGGTAAGGGCTGTTCTTACTATATGGTGAATCTGTGCAGTTGAGTATTACAAGAGAATTGTAAAGGAGCTGTTTCTTCATGTAGGAAGCAAAGATTAAAAATAAATATTTAAACTCTTTTCATATTCTCCAAAGAAAACAAAAAACTGCAGTAGATATGTCTTAGTTATGTTAATAAGTTGTTCATCTCTTCACAGCCAACAGGAACTCTGTAGTAGGTCAAGATAACTTGAGTGGTGCTGTCAGGCATAGGGGACATCTAATAAGTTAGATTTCAGTGTGTTATAAAATCTAAATGTATTGAGAAGCCGTGTTTAAACTTTACACACTAATGACATCCACTTAAAAAAATATATATGCATGGTCAGAAAAGTGACTAACAAAAACATCTGAGTGCATACTAAAAAAAAATCACATCGAGTTGCTTACGCTTAATTTAGACACTGCTTGTCAGTTTTGCAGACTCAGCGTGGCTACGTAAGAGTGAGGTGATTTCCTTTATGTGGTTTGTGTGTCACCAGTAAAATCAACAAGCATTTACAATCTTTTTTTGGGGGATACATAACACACGTGGAACAGATCATGATTTTAAATTGAGCTTTAAAGAATGACGTTTAGCGTACATTAATTGCTGGTATTTTTATACATATCAAACAAAACGAATCCATTGAAGAATATGTTTATTCTACAATTCTTTGATGCCTATCAAGTCTATAAGGATAACACCACTTACATCCCTAGTTGTTTTTACAGTGGAATAATGATGAAAAGCTTTGTATGAAAATTAACCACACCATGTAAGTATAAAACTTTCACATTCTAAAGTACAACTGATTTCTAAATTCCCTTTTTCAGATTATAGCTTCACTTTGCTTTAAAAAAAAAAGTTTCTAACAAACTCTCAGTTCATAGACATTGCTAATTTCATAATTTATATCCACGTAAATAGGTCAAAATAATGCCTGTGTTTTCTCCTTATTTTTTATTCAACAAGCTGATCTTTGGAAACTGCTCAGCACATTATTACTAAAATAATTAAAGTATAAGATGAATAAAAACCCATAGTAAATACATAAATGGTACCATAAATACATTCTGAACATAAAACTTGACATTCCAGTGCTTACCTCTAGAAGTCTTCACTGAGAATTTAGTGACCAAAACAGTGGAGAGGAAGTGAGAAGAGCTCTGTTTTCAATAGTTTGGTAAATTAACAAATCTGCACTGAAAACAGCTGTTTTCTGCAAAAGATTATATTTAGTCAGAAATCTAGATTTCTGGGAAAACACTGCTTGCTTTTGCAAGTAATTTAGTAAATGTTTCATGCATACAAAAGTCTTATGGAGGGAGTCTGATAATAATCCTTTATTATTCCACTGAATTCTACAGAAGTTTATGAAGTAATTTGACAACTATATTCAGCATACAGTCTGCATGCATTCAGCTTTGTACTTATTTCAGATATTCTCTAGAAGTAAGCCTCAGAACGATTCCCAGCATTTAACATTTAACCCATGCAGACTTTTACCTATTGCTTTGAATGCAACTGAAAATTTGCTTTACTCGGAGTAATGTTGAGTTCAACAGAGCTCCTTAAAATCCACGAAATCTTAGAGCTCTATGCCAATCACTGCAGGAACTTGATGTTGTTGAGGTGTTCTATACAACAGACCTGCACATTCATCCCAGATACGCCTTCTGAGGTGATGATCTCTCACTGAATGCCTCAACCAAGCAAAACAATTTTAGAGAGAGCTTTTTAGAGAAAAGAGAGAGCAAATCAGCAGGTTGAGTAACATATGAGAAGCAATCTATAATAACCTACCATATAAAAAGAGAAAATACCTGGAAAGGAAGCTCCAGTGCTACTTCATTTATTTATTTCAGTTGAAACACACTGTTAATGGAACAAGCTCTACAACAGCTTCAGTAGTATTTTGCCCAGGTTAGGTCATAAATCAATTTCTATTTTGTAACTGCAGCCACTCCATAGAAAAATTTCAATGTGATTTCATTTCTTGCCATCTAATTAAAGGTCTATAATGAAAAATGTACGTAACCCAAGTGTTTGTTTAACTCCTCATTAATGATGCTGAACTCAGAATTGCTACTGTGACATCTGGTACCACTGCCTCTAGTAACTGCTCTGTATACACTGCTCTGTGCACTGCTTTTCAGTAAACAATTGCTCTTTCAAGCCACAAAAATGCATGTCTGCTCTCAAGGAGACATGCTTTTTGCTGCATCATTACAGAAAAATGTGCTGCCTGCGATATCAAAAGACCAAACACATGCAAATCCTAACACTTCATCAGAAAAAAAAAAAATACAAACAACCAAAAGCATGTTTTCTCTTTATATAGCAATATGCTGACTGAGAATTCCCACAGACCAGGGGGATGGCATCTATCAGAAGATTCCACACAGACTCTCCATTCAAAATACTTTTCCCTGCAGCTCAATCAAAACCACCTGAGACATTTCTAATGAAGACTCTCTCCATAAAGCTCAGAAAATCAGCACATAAATCCTTCTGTAAGAATTAAAAACGACATCCTTATTTGAGGTTAAGTCAGCACTCTTTTCTTGTCTTTCCTACTGATATTCCAAGAAAAACTCCCTCTGCAACAGCACTTCCTCTCTGCTCCATCTCCCTGCGGTGAGATCATCATCTATTACTACAGAAATTAACACGATGTTAAAAATAAGCACGGAATGGCCACGCTGCATGAAGAAGGAGACAGACACTGTAATGTTTCTCAAGTAGGAAGTCCTAAAATACTGACGAAACCCCAGGAGGTTGCTTTATGTCTACTGGAATAGATCTAATTTGCCTGGACGCTCCTCCTTCTTATTCATCCACTCGAGCTTATTTTAGTGTAACATTTGAACTCTGCCAAAGGCTCTTGGGAACATTCTTGAGTGTTACTGCTAGGCTTGTCATCCCCGTAGTGCCTTTTTATCATCAAGTGTCTTCCAACACGAAATAGCATCTCTTCCAGAGCTCAAGCCATCCCTGCGATCACCCTGCGTCAGTGCCAGAGGAGTTGGAAAGGCAGGCGGCTGCAGGTCTGATCCTGAGGGCTGCTTCAAGGTGGATCCTCACTGGGGCTGTGATGGATATTAGTTAAATCCTGGTGAACAAACCGGGATATATTTAATGAGGCGTTCCTTTGTTTTCTACGCCTTTCATCCCTAGGATCTTCGTTTGTTGTATTCGTCGCACAACAGCGTGCAAGTCCAGTGGCGTTTGGGGCGGTGTGAGACGAGGTGTGGTGCTTACACGGGATTTTTACCCTCAGACCGGCACCTCCCAACGTTCCAACCGGTTTAGAACCCAGAGAAGGAAACGCCGCGGACCTACCTCTACCTCTACCTCTCCCTGCCCCTGGGGTGACCCAGCCGCAGGGTACACGGCCCGTCAGCAGGAGCTCAGCGCACCGCGGCCGCAGGGAGCAGCGAAGCAGCGCACGCTCCGCACGGCGCTACGGCCGCACTCCCAGCTCCCGCACCGCCCGCAGCCGCGGCCCCTCCGCGCGCTCACCGCCCCTCGGCCGCGCATGCGCGGTTGCGCAGAGGCTGGAGGGCGGCCCGCGAGCGTCGCTCCGCTCCCGCCTCATTGCCGGCCCGGCTCCTTCCTCCCCGCTGCTCTTCCTTCCTCCTCCTCCTCCTCCTCGCCGCGCGGTCTGAGCGCGACCGCCGCTTCCTGCCAGTCTCGCGGCTGCGGCGGCCGCTCGGCGTTGAAAGGGAAAAGGCGGCGGCGTGAGGGCGGGGAGAGGAAGAGAGGAGGACGGCCCTCGTCCGCGCGGCCGCTCCTGCCCCGCTCCGGTTCTTGCGGTTCCTGGGGCGGGGAAGGGCGGAGGGGGGGCAGGGTGAGGAGAGAGCGCGGCTGCCCGGCCCAGGCCGCCGGCTCGTCCTCGGGCGGCTTCGGCCTCCGTCCCTCCGCCGCCGGCACGGAGCTTGAGGCCGAACCGGGCGTTCCGGCCCGCAGGTGAGGCTGGGGCGGGCGGGGGAACGAGGTCGGCCGGTCGGTCGGTCGGTCGTCGGTCGGTCCCGCGGCTGCGTTCCGTGCCGAGGGGAAGAGAGACGGAAAGCGGGGCGGACCCAATCGCGGGCATTGATTGCTGCGTCCGCGCCTTTCTCTGCCGCACTTCCTCGAAGCGCGGCGCCGCGTCTCCGCCGCTTGGCAGGGCGTGTCCGCCGGGCCGGGCCGGGCTGCTGCCGGGCGGCTCTGCGCGCCCTGCGCTGGGCTGCGGGAAAAGCGTGCTGATAAGGGATGGGGGCGTTTGTGCGGCTCCGGGCTGCGATCCAGCACGTGTGTTACAGCTCGTTTCCACACTGATTTCCACCTTGGAGAGACCTCTGGCTGTCTTCGGCTTGAAATCGTAGCGATTGTATGGTGTTTTCGTTCCTCTAAAGCGTCAAAGTGAGCACTGGGCGGCTTTGGAATATTTACTTGCACGAATTTCCTGTAGCATTAAGAAAAGTCATTTTTTTTTTAAGCATTCGTTATGTCTTGGGTTTGAAACACCGGTGGGGCCCAGAAGCAGGTATGATCTTAACACACATCTGCTTCCTTGCACAGCCTGATTGCTTAGTGGTGAGGTAAGAACAGATGAAAGCTGCTCTGGCGGTGCAGCGCAGTTGGACGTAGGTGACGTGCTTTTCCCATGGCTTTCTGTTACGTTTGGATGTGTTTACCTTAGGGTGTGAAGTTGTGTTATCTGAACAGAATTCCTGGCTCTCATGCATGTAAGGCAGCTGTGTGAAATGTCAGGTGTGAGCTTGTTCACCTAGACGTCTATGCTTCTTGTGAACTGGCTTTGCTTTATAGCTCTCATTGTGCAGCAGCTGGCGTAGTGTTTTAACACATGGAGTCTGGTTTAACCAGCGCTGTCTCAAACTTCCAATTCCAGGGGGCTGTGTAGCACGTGCTAAGGTCTTAAATAGCAGCTGAAGGAGCTGGGATTGTTCAGTCTGGAGAAGGCTCTGGGGAGACCTTATTGCTCTCTATAACTACCTGAAGGGAGGTTGTAGTGAGCTGGGGGTCAGCCTCTTTTCTTGTGTCACACTGATAGGACTGCAGGGAATGGCCTCAAGCTGCACCATGGGAGATTCAGGCTGGACGTTAGGAAATACTACTTCTCTGAAGAGTGGTCAGGCACTGGAATGGGCTGCACAGGGAGGTGGTGGAGTCACCGACCCTGGAGGTGTTCAAGGAATGTTTGGATTTTGTTTTGAAGGACATGGTTTAGTGAGAACTATTGGTGATAGGTGGATGGTTGGACTGGGTGATCCTGCAGGTCTTTTCCAACCTTGGAGATTCTGTGATTCTCTCACAGGGAATAAACACAATAATAATAATAATAATACACAATAATACACATGCCATTTTTATTTATTTTTGAAATCTAGATAGATATATTACTGAGTACATCCAGTATATAACAATGATGAAAAACCAATGATGTGGTGTGTGTTTGTTGTTGTTTGTTTTTTTTCTGAAAAATAATAATATTATAAATGGTGATAGAGGTCAGTGCAATGCACATATTAAATATATATATATGTTAGAGAAGCTTTTTGAGAAAGTAACATGAATTTATTATCCTGAGTAACTGGAAATGACTTAGTGTGTAAATATATGCAGTGGACAACTTGTTTCTGTGCAAGCTTGCTTCTTTGTAATCTTCTGCATTATATATCATTTAAAATAGTACATTTAAATAGCACTGCTGGAAGTTCATAGATGTGTTTTAGGCATGTAGAACTAGAGCTGCTGCCATGGCAGAGGTGAAGGAGCACCTCCCCAGGGCCTGATAGCCCCACAGGGGATCCCCAGCTTTAGGGGGTACCCTGGAAGGTTTGCTCTGTTGTGCTTCAGTAGCTTTCCTGCAATGTAGAGTAACTTTAGCAATAGTAGAAAAGAGTAGGAGTGTTGTAAATATGAAGTTGTTAATGGAGAAATTATCTTCAGTAGCTGCAGCTTGTTACTTGACGTGGGCTGTTACCATGGAGCTCTTTGTTTGTTTTGTTCATTAACAAATATTCTCGATATAGTACCAGTGTGTTGCAGTGTTTTGTTTTTAAATGGTTAATGAATCATTCTTTTGCAAAATGATAGAGGACACCCATTTTGGAAAAGCTGACAATGTAAAAATGCAGTTTGCTTTGTTTTTGGAAGATTGGTGTGACTTTGTTTTTCATTATGCGTTCCTTTAATTTTTTTCATTGTGTTCATTGTAGTACTGTCATTTCCTCAAATTTGAAAATCATGTTTGACTTTCTGTTATTTTCCCTGAATCTTCAGTATCTGTGATAACACTGGTTCTGTAAATGTCCAGCTGTGTGATTGCTTCTCTGAAACCTACCTATGCTTTACATTGTGCCCTAAGATAGTCCTGGCTGTGTTATAACAGCTTTTCAGATCCTTCTTCTCAATAATGATAATATTCTGCATGTCATTTTTTTTATCATCTCGTGGAGTAATGATATCTACAAGTGCAGCTGTGAGCAGCTGACTGGCAAAGAATTCATGCTTCATAAAATAAATATCAGTGATTGGAGTCACTTCACTCTGTAGTGTTGTCTCAGGATTCTGGTGGTCTGCAAAGACAGGAAGGTCACCAAAGACAAATGGATGGGCCTGTGGGTGTTTGGTACTCCTACAAGGTTTAGGATATGTCAGTACAGATACTGTCTTGCCTTGCTTAACACTAGCCTGATGTAGTTACACTTCATGGCTCCATCAGGCAGTACTTTTCCAGACTACATAACAGCTTTTTGGTTGTCTTAACTGCTGACTCTGTCTATTCCTAGCTTTGTAACACTCAAGAACTAAGGGATTTTAGCTTTCTCTAAGGAGTTGTCATTCTATTGTTAAAAGCCACAAACAAAGAAAAAGCTGTATTTCTCAGGTTTTTGAAAGGGAAATAAACTGGGAACATGCTGTATCAGAGAGGTAAACTGGATAGTTGATAGTTAACTCAGTACAGGCTGACAGCTGTGCACACAGTAACTTTTGGGGGATTTTTTTTGCCCTGAAGAGGCTGACATGAACTTGTTCATTCAGAGCAGAATCTTTGTGCCTCCAGTTTGAGGTAGGACGTGATTTGAGACAAACAGGTTTTCTGGTTTTTAGTGGAAACACTGTTCATGAACTGGAATAACTGCCTTCGTTGTAGTAGTAAGCACTGTCATCTTTTGGCAGACAGTAACTTTGTCAGTCTTTACTTCTTGCTTTAATGCTAGGTGTTTTACACGTAGTATCAGTTTCTCCACCCCCTGTGATGATTCTGGTTTCAGTTAATCTTTTTCTGAGCAAGGTGGTGGTGAATGAAAACTATGAATGAGTGCTTAAATCCATTATGTAAACAACTGCTGATTTCCCTCTCTTTCCTTCATTGCATGGTGGTCACTGTGATCAGTAGCACAAGAAGCTGCTTTTTTTTTCCCCTCGTGAATTAGACATTCTAATTCCAAAGAGCATGTCCTTGCACAGAGGAATGGTACAAGTGCATCCTTCTAGGGAACGCTCTTGTGTCAGCCTTGCGTAATTTAACTCTTCATGTATCTTTGTTGTCTGTCATTTATTTCTGTTTCTACTTTAGAACTTGCTTTCACAAAGCGCTGAAGTTTAAACAAATAAGATTGTAATTTTCCAGTCTGATTCTTTTTGTTCCCTCTCAAATATGAATACTACTTCTGCTGGCTTGTGATAATAATACCTCTGATTTATTTTTTTTTTATAGATCTTTGTTAACCTGCAGTTTCATGAGACAGTTCTTCAAAATTACTGAGTTGGGAGTGTTCTGCTGAGCACATTAACTTTTGTTTTAATTGTGGGCATGGTAGCTTCCATACCTTTCATAGCTATGAATTCAGCTGTGTTATCTGTTAAAGTGAAGGGCAGGTGTTCAATTAAAATAGGAAGTATATTCAAAATGTTTGACTCCATCATTGTTGCATCTTTCTTTTTTAGTGAGGTGTATGAAAAAGGTTTTGTACTTAGTAGTATATTTCACAATCTTGTTCTTTTAGTATTTTTGGGGTTTGTGGAATTCTGAAATTTGTCAGAAATCAGAATGAGTTGCTGTTTGTTTTTATCAACAGTCTGTGCTTGCTTTATTAGTGTTGAATGTGCTTTTCCTTCTGCTTCTTACATCCATCCTCCTTACTCACTGTTTCTAACACTCATCCAAGCAACCTTACTTCAGAGTCTTCTAGGTTTTCACACTGATTTAAAGAAATTTCAGCCCTCCTTTTTGATCAACTCCCACTGATTTCATTGCTTTTTTGTTCTTGTGAAATCATAGTTAACCCACAAATTTAAATGGAATCAACTTATAGCTGAAGATGACCATGTAGACCATAACAATGTATTCTACGTGATCTTTGGGTTTTGTTGAGGAAACACTTCTAGCTCTTGTTTGATAGAAGGCAGATAAAAGTGTGTATCATAGATGTTTATGTAGTCTAGTAATGTGAAATTACTGCCAGATGGTATTTTATAATGAACATCTTCCTAGTAGTATTTTCTCTCTTATTACACGTCAGAGGTAGCTATCCATTAGGGGCAGGTAGTGCTTTCATGGTATTTTATGTTCCACGTGATTCACTTATGGATAGTTAAAACAGATCAGCATGCCAGCTTGACAAGTGGACAACTAAATTTGTTCAGGAAGCTAGATACTGTGGACAAAAGGTTCAGCTCCTTCCCCAGATTAAGAGCTGCTTTTATTTTTACTTTTTTTAAATATGCAGCATCTGCTGACTTATACTTTAGTGTTAGGAAACTGCAAGGCTGGCTCAAACAGCCGGTGGTTCTAGAGCAGTGCTGCTCTTTGCTGGTATTGGATCAGATGCACAGAGATTGTTTCTACACAGGTGAATTTCTTAAGTGTTCTGTGGTGTTACTTTGAAAGAGAAAAGGAGACTTTCAGTTTGTTTATTTATAGCATCTTCACACTGTAGTATCTGAATGCCTCGCATGCATGCGATGCCAAATACGCTGGCGTAGACCCAGGCGTCAGAACAGGTGGTGCCATTGAAGGTGGTGAGAGATAGGGCCTTAAAATGTAGAGTAGCTCCTGTTTGTGTGAGACGGGTCACCTTTGTTTAGGAAGGAAAAGATAAACAGATTACCTTTAGTCAGAAGATAGTAAGAAGAAGAGTTTAACTTGTGGAAGGGGTGGAACTTTATATATCCCTGGAGTGAAGGGAAATCAGAGAGGGAAATTGAAGGATTTCCTCACGAGTCTTCTGTTTTATTTTAGGACTTCTTTAAAAAAAAAAAAAAAATGAAATACAACAGGATGTCGCTTCATCAGCTGTGTAATAATACATGTAACCCAGTCTACATTAAGAAATGAGCACGTAGGAGATGTGACTTGGGAGTTCTGAATTGTAAGCACAGCAGATTACAGTGTAGTTTCTATTGTTCAGGAAGCTCAGTGTAACAAACTGTTCTTTGGGTGGTTGTATTTTATTTTAGGTTGTATTCTGGTTATTTTTTTGTGTGTAAAAATTCAACTGTTATGGCATGTTAAGTTTAATGTATTGTCCAAGTTATACAAATGAAGCACGGAAGAAATATTTTTACTCACATTTGTGGAAATGCTTGATGCTGTTTTTTGTGAGAAGTAGCATCCTGATACCTTTGGTATTGGACTTATTGATCTGTTAGCAATCCAACCAGATCTCTTCAGCACTGAATCATAGAACCAGACATGAAATACTCTGTGATACATCAGCTTGATTAAAAGCTACATGGAATGCAAGAAATTGTGTAATAAGGTTCTTGAAAGAATAGAAAACATTTTGTTAAGAGATTGTATTAAGAGTTTCAAAGCTGGCAGCTATAAGAATTACGCAATCAAAAAATGTGTTATTTTGGAAGAAAGTTCTGGAGATCAGCTCTTGCTCAAAGCATGGTCAGGTAGAGCAGGTTGATCAGGGCCTTGTCTGATCACGTTCTGAATCTGGAGGTTTCACAGTCTCTCTAGGCCAGTGTTTAACTGTTCTCTGTTCTTCAGCTCCAAGATCCTCTGTTTGCATGCATTTCCCATTTGGAGATGCTCTGGATTTGCATGTAGCTGTGCCATTCCCTACAGTGCCTGAACGTGTGCTGGTGAGAAAGAACCTCAAGGCTTGCCTGCAGCCAGGCAGATTCTCCTTGCTTCTTGCACTCTGTACTCGCTGCCTGCAAGCTGGAGAGTGAGAGATGGAGGGATGCTGTCTGACCTGGACAGGGATCGCATTATAGTGTCAGGTCAGGTTTGGACAGCTGCTGTTTCCTCTCCAAGGCTTCCCCCACTGATGTTTATATTTTTGTGCAGTTTTCTTTAAAGCTGATTACTTTGTTTCAGACACTTTATAATTTCCTGCTGTTTGATGTGAATGATAGTCACTTTTGCTCTTCATCATGATCTGTGTCAAATATGCAATTGTCTGACAGTGTGTTTGCTCAAAACAGGAGTTGTTCTTTTCTTCAGAGTTGCTATTGTCTAACCACTGACACGTACTTTGCCTTACTGAGCAATGGCCATACTATTTTCTCAGCCTGTCTTTTGGAGTCAGTGTCCTCATAGTCACCTTTCTTGTTGTCCTTAGCAGCCTTTGCTAGTTTTGACTCTAGATGAGTTTTTGGCTTTTCTAATTCATATTTGTATGCAGAAAGAATGTCTCTATGTGTCTTCTAGGCAGTTTGTTCATGCTTCTTTTTCTGGGGTTGAGCTCAGTCAGGAGTTCTGTGCTCATCTTGGTGAGCAAATCTGGCAGATGGCTGTAAGGAATGCTGTGCTCTCTTCACAGCACAGTGACTCCTGCACCTTTATGCTCCAGTTCAACTGTGACGAAGTTCTATTTGCACATTCACTGCTCTTTAATTATACATTAAGTACTGAACTGTCAGTCTGAAGATAGCCATACTAAAAATAGCTATACAACCTGTTATATTTCATTCCCTAAATTACTCTGATCCTCTGAGGATCTCAGTGAATTCACCAACTTGAATTAGTTGTCTGTTAGAAGTGATGTCGTTTAAGCAATACCCACAGATGTAGTTCAGGTCTACACTGTGCTCAGGTACTCAGCAGTTTTTACTTGCACACTAAATGTTAATGCTGATGTTGTAGATGCTAAAAGAGAAATGCAACTCTGAACATGCAAATGGTAAGAATTTCATTTCTTGCCTATTGGCCTTTTTAGCAGATAGTTTTGAGTTCTGCTGCTTAAATGAATTGGATTATCATAATAGCACATAGCATAATTTCTTGTTTTATTTAGGCTAATATGTAACCTTTGAGTACTTATAGTAGGAGAATATCACTTTACATGTTGATGCTGCTTCTGTCTTGTGATCTATCTGCTTTTTTACTTGAAACCAGTCAGTATTAATTATTGAAAAGAAATATATATTTTTCAGACACCTCTCTCCCAAACGAGAGCAGCAAGCCAAAGCTATGAACTTGTATCTTTGCCACCAAAACATTTTCAAACTGCTTTCTCAGTATAGATACCTAAATTCATCAAAGTCCAGAATAGGAGCTTGCTTGCTTTGTTTTAAAACTAAGAAAACAGATTCTCACAGAATTGACCAACAGGGGCAGAACTTGTTTTAGACTTCAGTTCAGTCTTTAGTCACCTTGAGTTCCATCTCTGCTGTCCTTTAGGAACCATTCCAACTTCAGATAAGAGCGAGGTTGGAATCTTATATTTGTTCTTGAAAGTGCACTTGTATCCAACACCTGCAGTACTGAACGTCATTAGTTTGGATCTCAGAATAGCAACTGGAAATTGATAAGATTATATTGCATAATAGTAGTGTCTGTCCTATGCAGGAGATTTTAAGAAGGGAAATGTGTAGTTTTCCAGGCTCTGTTGTCTTTTCTCAGCAAATAGAATATTTCCATACTCTAAGCACATAAAGGTTAGGAAAGTAGCTGTGGAATTGGAAGCAGGATGAAAGATGCCCTGCTTGCAAGGGAGAGAGGACCTGCAGTGTGATATTATGGTGGGAATGAGAAGTGTAGAAGCTAAATTAAAAAAAAAAAGAAAAAGAAAAAAAAGGCATCATGATGCTACATGATATCTTTGCGAGAAAATAGCCCAAATATTCTGGTTTTGTTACTCTAGTAAAGATAATGGAGTAAGAAATGATGAAATGTCCATGCACAAAAAATCCTTGTCAGAATTTATTTTGCCTGTTCGATTGAAATATAAGGAATTTTTTTATATTTCCTAGTTAGAGGTGGTATAAGAGCTCTTAAACCAATTTGTTTTCAAATGGGTGGCCAGTAATAGTTCACTCCTAGATCTTTTCTATTTCCATGAAGAAGTTGTTTTTTTTCTTTTTTTTCTTTTTTTTTTACTAAATAAGGCTTTTTCCCAAGCCCTGTGTGGAACACTTATCTCCTTTATCTCAAGTAGCTGGGCCACCACCGAGTTCTGGTCTGGTATTTGTAAGGAACTGGATGTCTGGACGTAGGCTTTCAGTAAGGTATTTAGGAAAAAAAAAAAAAGCTAATTGAGGTTGTTCACCTACTTTTGAGTAATGTTTTACTCTCTGTGACTGCATATTGTAAATACAAGCTGTATCTTGGTTTGTTGGTGACTTTTTTGTTCTTGCAAAAGGTGCTTTTTATGTATTACACTGAGTATGTGACACTGGAATGCTTCTCTCCTCATTTTCCAAGTTAAGCAAAAGAATATTTTTATTACCCTGGATATGTCTTTAATTCTACTATAGCATACTGAAGTTTGCATTCAGTTGCAGCTGTATTAAAATGTAAATGAATGTCTATTACCTGCCTGGATGCTTTGAAAAGGTTCTGTCTGCTGATTTTTTTTTCTGTTTTGGAGAGTGTTCTTATGACTGTGTAATTCTAATTCTTGAACCTGCTCCTGACTGTGGGGTCTTTTAAGTCCATGAAATGCATTTAATTGTTATTTTTAGGAGTTGTGAAAAATGATAGGGTGTGTAAGTATCTTCACTGAGCTAGGAGTAGCTGATAGTCGTGTCTAACTTTGAAACTGTAGGTAAATGAGTGGTTTCTGTTAAGTAGAAAAATTTGTGTGCACTTTGTACAGTCAGATTTTATAAAGCTTCCATAGAAGTTCGATGAAGTTTTTCCAAAAATACAGCCCTTATGCCAATGTCATGTTGAATTCTTGAGTATTACGTGGCTAAAAAATAGGTAACTATATTAAGTTTGTGGGCTGTGGGTTCGTTGTGTTGGATTTTTTTGTTTGTTTGTTTTAATTCCAGATCTAAAAACTGAATGGTTTTTTTTCCAATTTCTCTTTGCAAATACAGAATTAGAGAATAAAAATGGGGACTCCTGGATCAGGACGGAAGAGGACTCCAGTGAAAGACAGATTTTCTGCAGAAGATGAAGCTCTGAGTAGCATTGCCAGAGAGGTATGTTAATTTCAATTTGTTTCTAATTCATAAATAGAGATGAAAGCAAATTTACAGTCCAATAATTAGACAAAAATGAAATACCAATGAAGAGTACTTTAACTTAAAGATGACATTTACTGGAATAAAGTGTCATTACTTATTTGGTTAGTGTAACTTCGTAGTATCACACTTAAGATTAGCAGCTATTTCTGCAGGCAGGTATGCTTTAAATGTTTGTTACCTTGAGATATATGAGAAATCCAGTTGCTTTCTGAACTGTGAAATAAAAAAACCTGAAGTTTAGCCTACTGTAGTGTTCAGTATTCCCATAGTGGTCAGTGTAGTCTATTAGCATTGAAGGTGTAACAGTTATTGAGTGTATCTACAAGAGTTGACAAACGTGTTCTATTTCAAATATGAAGTCATAGTTCTGTCAAAAATAGATTGATATGTTATTCATATTATTCATATTCCAGGACTTTTCTAATAGGATCAGCAGCTTAAAAATAAACACCTGGAAGTAACCAGGCAAAAGAGTAGCAGTTGTCATTGAACTGCTTGCTGTAATTCAAGTATTAGCCAACTTTTTTTTAAAAAGCCCTTGTATTTTACTTTAAAGGAACAGAATTCATTTCCCAGGGTATAACAGCTGAGGCCAGTTAATAAATCTATCTTTAAACAAAATCTGATTTTACTGTACTGTTCTTCTCATTTGCCTTCTCATTTGAGGCTGCAGAGATGTTTCCATTTAACATGCTTATGACATAGGGATTTCCAGTTTTCTATGCATGAATATGTACTCAACTGTTCTCAGTCAGTTATCTTAGCAACATGTCTTGTTTATCTTTTCACTGTCAAAGGGTGTTCTGTTCTTCAGCTTGCTATACTGAAATTACCTTTTTAGCAGATGCAGATTACAGGACCAAATTCAGCTGTTCTGACTCGCATGTGAGGAAAATATTCCTCTAAGGTGTTCTAGACAGCAAGAAATAGTAAACAGAATTTGCTGAAACAAAAGTCTGGCACACAACCTGGAAAAACTTTATGGAAAGTGCTTTGAGATTCAAAGCAGTCACAAAATGTCACTAGGAATTGCCAGTAGTTGTAATACTAAGGGTTTCCTGGTGTATGAGATTTGGAGTTGTTTTTTTTTTTAATTTATTTTTCTTTCTTACAATGTTCAGATTTAAAGTATTAATCTCGTTGCTTCTCACCACTCTATAATTTGACATAATTGAGATTTTGTTTTTATTCTGTGGGATGTATTAAAAAAAAAAAAAGTCTTCCTGTTGGAAGCATCTGCAAAAATGGAAATTATGGTGTCAAATTCTTTGGCACTGAACCAATAATCTCACTTCTCTACAGTCATTTTCTTCATCAATAGTTGAATCTGATGTGTTGTCTTGTATGAAAATATTCAATGGAAAGTCACTATTGTGGGATCTGAGGGACTTGAACAAATTGCTTTCTCCTTGTCAGTTTTCTTTCATTTTTTCTCTCCTGTATCAGATAACTTTGCTGTTAGCATCCTCTCCCCTTCACCTGTTGTAGTACTAGCCTGGAAGGTTTTCCTGTCTTCTGTTTGCTGTGGGAGTTTGCATTGAGACAAGCATTTCCTCTGTGCTGCTACACTGAATGTTCCATGCTAAATCTTCATCATATAAATGTTAAGATTTTGTTGTTTGTGTTCTTTACTTTGTGGCAGTTGAACAAAAAGCTGGCATATCAGAAATAAATGTAAAACAAAAGATGCATCTGAGGAGAGATGAGAAATCCATCTGGTGTGTAAATGACTGTGCTGTCTTGGAGAGACAGTAAGGAGAGGATGAGGGTAAAAGTGCATGGAAATAAGAAAGCTGAAGAAATGAGCAACAAGAGAGAAAACTGAAACAATTTCCCTCAATAAGAAATATGAAATAAGCTTTTATTATGAGGCTAGTGAGGTAACTGTGTAGTAGTCTATTAAGAAATACTATGAATATTTTTTTAAATGTTAGTCCTAACTCTTTGCCAGAGATCACATGATGTCCTGGGTATCTGTCCAACAACCTGGTATCAAAAACTGAATTTGGCAACCAGGTGTGGGTAAGAGGTGCCCTCACAACTGCCACCATATGGATGAAGAAAACCTCTCTTTGAGTCTTGGAAGCATTAGAAAATGCAGGACCGTCAATACTGCACATACCTTAATAGAAATAATAATAATAAAAAAAAAGTTGTATATGTTTTAGCCCATGATGACAAATCAGTGTTAATTGTTTTAATTAAATCATTCATATTTTTTCAGACATATATTATTGGATGAAGCTTTTATTTTGAATCTGGCTTATTAATGAACTTCTTTCTACATGGTATAGGAACTAAAATCAAAATACTGTTACTTTCTAGTGATTGCCTTCTTGCAAATGAGGGGAAGGAGGAAAAATTCCTTTCCATGCTGTGGATGCAAATTTTATGTTCACTTAACATTGCAGAGAGGAAAACTTCTACCATGTCAACTTTGTGTGGTAGTAAGCTTTTTCTCTTTATGAAGAATTTCATCAATGCTGTGAAGATGCTAAGAAAAAGCACTTCAGAAAGAAGACTCTGACTATCTGTCCAAAGGCATTCAAATTTCAATCCGGTCTTTTTCCTTTCTTTTTTTTTTTCTTCCTTTCTTACAGAAACTACTTTGATGCTAACTAAAGAACTAGGTGCTAGATAAAGTAGTTTGGAAGTTCTTAAAACGATTACAGTGAAGTGTTTATTTAAAATAAAAATGGAAAAGAGGAGAAATGGAGTATGCAGGGACAATTTTTAAAATAACTGTAAGTAGTTGTTAGTAACTATTTTTAGGTGAAAACAAAGAAACTGACCACATGGAAAGTAATGAAAAGAGGGCATTCACTTCCAGTGCCGTGTTTTCTAAAATAACGTACTCCAATGAGAGGTGTTTCTTGATAGATTGTGTGCTTGAAAACAGCAAAAATATGAATATATATTTTTCGAATGAAATGATGCTTGTACAGGCTCAAGGAAATGTGTTTTTGCATATAATACTTTTACATCAGTTTTGAAATGAATGTTTTTGAAAGAGATGAATTCCAGAATTCAGAAGTACATGAATATTTTAGCTCTTCTTTGAGCAGCAGAGCTCACCCTAAGAAATGCAGATACAGTGCTTAATTTAAAATCATGTTTGTGCTTAGGTTGAAGGTAGAAGATGAGGAACAGTGCATGTGTATTTATGTACTGAACAAAACAAAAAATATTACTGAAATAGTTTTTTTCCTGTCCAAATGAAGTAGTGAGGGCCTCTTCCTTGTGTTTGTGTCTACTTGATGTATTTTATTACAGGTATCTTATCTGTCTGTTACTTCTTTTCTTGATCATTTCTCTGAATAAACTTCAGACAAAGTCACTGTCTCTACCTTAATTCTCCTGTTTGCCTTCCACTATGTATAATGAAGGAGTTTCTTTTCTTTTTAGCCGCCAGTGTAGGTGTACTGGTGTGGACTGAACAGGCTTGGATACCTTATCTTTTTCGCAATTGAAGCGACTAAGAAATCTCAGCTATCACTTTCTTTTTCCCAGTAGCAGTTGGAAATCCCCTTAGAAGCTTTGAAAATAGTCTCAGGTTTGCTAGATTGTAGACAGTCCAGAGTTGTATTTTGTTACTTCAGGAACATTTGCATTTGATACATAGCTTCTTAAGAAGCTGCATTTAAATTGCGTGATGTTGTAATATATTTTCATAAGAAACATTTCTTCTGATTTTAAAACTATATATAAAATAACTGATAAAACTGAGGTGAAGGCTCAGCTGGCCAGTCTTTAGTTTTTTAAGAATGAAATTTATTTAATGGAACCTATAAAAAATCAACCTGTACTGACTCCCAACTGCATTTGAGAATATTTTAAGAATGAATTATGAAAGCATTAGAATCTTCCTGTCCTTTCCCTTTTTCCTGATTAAAAAAGTCTAAATTTCTTTTTTTTTGTGCCACTTCTGTAGTCCAAACAGCTTCATCTTTTCAAGTCAGCTGTCTGTGCAGAGCTGCTGTGGCACTGTATTTCCCCTAGTAGATATGTATGACTATTTCCATCTAGTTGAAGAATTTCTTTCGTTCTGTAACAGCTTCTACAAGCTTTCTTCAGTAAGACAAAAGAGTAAATAGCAGAAACCAGGAAGAATGCTACGTCCTTAATCATCATTTTCAGTTTCAGCTACATAGTTTTCATGATTTTCATGAGAAGTCTGCTATCTAACAACTCCACAGTAAACAAAGAATAATTTGATGGCCTTTTGAGCGCAGTGTGATCTGTCCAAAGCCTTGCATATTGGTACTTTTTAAATTTTTAAATTCTGTACTTTTTCGGAGGAATCTAGTTGCTCAGATTAATAATTAATGTAGTACCAAACTGTTTCTTTTTTTTCCTATAACAAGTTGGGTTTTTTTCTTCAATTTCAGGCATATATTTTATGACCAATACGTTTATAGTACTGTTCTGAGTATTATAAACGACTTGGAAAACTCGGCATTTCCTCATTTTACTCTGTTCTAGAAACATGGTTGTGAAACATAGGCTGCAAGGCTAGGAGAGAATGATGAAAGGGGAGTTGATTTTTACCATGCGTCAATAAACAAACAGACTTGCTGTGTTTAACCAAAAAGCCTTACCAGTCTAAGGCTATTTGCTTATGTCTGCTGATCTGCAGGTGATCTTTGAGGTGCCATGAGATATGGTTTAGTAGCTTAGTGGTAGTAATGGCAATAGGAGGACAGTTGGACTAGATGATCTTGTAAGTCCTTTCCAATCTTGTGATTCTATGATTCTATAGATAGATCTGAAACTAGACATACCAGCTATACGAATCCTCCCTCTTTCTGTACAGCATGCACATGTGTGAAAATCTATCTGCCACATAAGCTATGATCACAGGCAATTGCAGAGCAGGGTTACAAGTGAGAAAAGACTTCCTGTTCCTGGGGATTCCCTTGCTCTCTTCTGTGCAGTCCTCAGGCAGGAAGAGCAGCCTTTGAAAAGTGATCAGATAGTGGCAATCAGCAGTGCTGGCACTGATTTCTAATCATTTCATCTATGTATGCAAAATAGAGAGAAAACGTCCTTGATGAGAATGGTTTGAAATTAAGACTATTTTAAGTAACAAAGCTGTAGTATTTTTTGCTGCTTTTTTTGGTGGTTATTTGGTAATTTTTTCATAGATATTTTTGTCCTTGTAACGCAATTCAAATGCTAATATCCCTTTCTTTTTCCTGAAGCGTGGTAGATATTTACAATATTCATGCATTTGATAGGTTTCTAGTGTTTTACATAAACCTATGATGTACTGATGACAAAAGCAGGGGAAAAAAAAACCAAAAACCCTTTAATTATAAATGAAGTTTGCAACCTTGAAAAAGTTTTTAAAAATTGTTTTGGATAATAGAAGTTTTCAGTTTTTGGTTCTCAGTGCTCCTTTTAATTAACATTAAAAAAAAACAGGATTTTTTGATGGCAAACGTGTCATCAAGTGTTTGATATTTCAAAAATGAGAAGTTTCATCCATTCATTATCCAAATGTGAGAAACTTGACCTTGTGTTTTGGGGAATGTGAAGTTGTAAGTGGAAAGGAAGTCATGTTTTGGTGATGGTGATCAATTACGAATTACGTGAAGAGGTTATTACATTCAATATGCAAACAGTTACACACAACTTATTTTAAACTTGGAATGTTTTCAATTTGCTTGTAGGCTGAAGCCAGACTTGCAGCAAAACGGGCGGCTCGAGCAGAAGCAAGAGATATACGTATGAGAGAGCTGGAGAGGCAGCAAAAAGAGGTATTGTTAAACTGCCAGGAATCGCTACAAAACTGTGCTAAAATCCTTAGTTTTGCCTTCCAGTGTAATTCAGTGGTGTTCTGGGATTTTGAGCATCAGTTAGCTCTTTCTCCTTCCGCCTCTGCTCCAAACTGTGCTCTCATTACCCTCCTCCTTCCTATGGATTATATACTCAAGGATATCTTGCTTTGTTTTCATCTGTGCTTAACACCTCAGAAAATATCAGTCTGAATACTGATTTTGAAATTGATTAATATTCAAGGTTGTATTGCAGAAGAAAATCTGCTGTACAAATAGACTATTAGAACTCATGCTTCCAAAGGAAGAATAAACTATTTTTAACATTCTTTTTCTTTTTTAATTCTGCCTTTGCAGGCAAATGAGGTATTTGAGTGTTTTAACAGAGCAGTGAATTCAGTGTTAACGCTTAGAAGTGGGCATAAATGAATTCATGTTTTTATGGAGATATTTATTTATTACTGCTTATTTCTTTTAAATGTTCAGAAGAGAATGTAAATGGCAATGTCCAGGACTCAGGTGTGCACAGATAATTTTGTGTAGAAAGGAACAGTTTTCAATATCTAATGTGAAGTTTAATATTGTTTGGATATGCATTAGTACACTTCCACCTGAGTCATCTGATTTTTATTGCTTTTATAAACATTTACTGTAAAACACACTCAGCAGTTTTTGTCTATTGCTATGAAACAGATTCATTCCAAATATGGATAACTGGCAGCACAGCATAGATAATACACTTAAATGTGTAACACTGCTTAATATAAAGGGTAAAAAATGATGAAAAAGCAGTTTTTGCTCTATTTTTATTTATAATACATTCAGTAATATGAATATGTGACTTCAGATATGTGATTTTCAGTCAATGTCTTCCCTTTTGATTGCCCTCAAAATGTTTACAATAAATACTTATTGTTAGGATTTCTATTTAAAACAACTTACTAGCATTAGGATAATATTTACACACTGTGTTTTACGGCACACATTTCTCCTTTAAAAAAAGATCACTTTTTGAGTGTAAAAGCATAAAAAAGCCAGATTGTCAGCTGTGTTTGATTATTCTGTGGTTATTGCATCTGCTCAGGTTTTCACATGGCAAGCAGAGGTTTCAGTGTTTCAGTTACTTAATGTAGTTATTCAAATCTGTGTAAATGATATTTGCTTTTTTTTTTGCTGTGATGGTAAGTACTATTTATAAAATGTGATATATTTTTATGTCTTTCATTACTCCATACTTTCTTGTCTAAGTGCTGTTGTATCTGATACTACTTTGAAGATAACATGGCAGTTAACTTAGATTTGTCTGAGTTTTTGATTAGGAAATTGTTTTGTAAATGGTTTGTTTGTTTTTGTTTTTTACATTCTGTAGTTTTCTCAGCATTCATATGATACAAAATGGGCTCATATCCAGAAATGGATGGTAGGCTAAAACAACCTTTTGTGCATGTTTTTGCCACTCAAGGAACTAACAGGATTTGGAGGAAATAATTTACTAATGGTTTGTGGTGTGTCATTTTATACTGTTTTGAACTGCTGAAAAAAAACATGCATAATAGCTTAGTATGGGTGTGGATTTGCAAGACGTTGCATGGAAGCAAAAAGAAAGAAACTAAAATGAGATGCATATTGTTTGCATCATATTCTGACTTCAGGTTGTGTGTCCTTTTTCAAATTTATTCCAGTTTCAGTATTGGTAAATGTCTTTTCAATAGTAAATATTTTTACTTCAGTGAATTTGTGGGATTTGGCTTGTGGGGTTTAGCTTGAGGCTTTCTCCACTGTTTTCTTGGCAGAGTTGCATTTATTTCCTTTTTGAGTAACATAGCAAACAGTGGTTATTTCACTGATTATCGATTAAGTCGCTTTTATGACTTAAATCTTTGCATAATATATTTTAAAACAAACAAAAAAAGCTTTGTGTTACTTTCATCCTTTCACCCCTTGCCCTTTGCTTCCCCTGAGCAGGGAGGCGTATGAATAGTTGAATTACAGCCTTAGAAAGTTGCTTCCCAGTTTATACTAATTTAGTCTGTCTCTTTAGAGAATTCCTCTTTAAAAAGTAATTTTGTTGTGAATCTGTGGGAGTTTTTGGGGATTGCTTTATCCACTGTGAATGGTTTAAATCAAGAAGATTTAGGACACGCCAAAAATAATCATAAGGTAGTGACTATTAATTGGCACTAAGGATGAAAAAGACTGGTCTTCATTAGAATTTCATTTGCAGAAGTTGTGTTGACCTGATACTGACTCTTTGCCTAGCTAGTGTGTTTGTGTGTTAGTTTTCATGCCACTTACAAAGAATCAAAATGGTTTCTGTTAACATGTGATAAAACGTGCACGTATGCACACTGCTCTCCCTCTCCTCTGTCCCCCCTTTGAAAAACAAAAATCCAAAAAAAAAAAAAAAAAAATCCCCATGTGTTTCATAACTGTAGAATGCAAATCTCCTTTGTGAGCAATTTCACTTCAAAATTAGGCAACTGGGTACAGAAAGTCAGGCTTTTCATGATTCAGGTATGTTAATGAGGAAACTCTGGTGTTATACAGGCAACCAGGAGGAATTTTATCTAAGCATTGAGCTTTCTGTTTGCAAACTGCAAAAATGAGTAGTAGATGTTTATTCCATGGCACAATGTTTGTTTTAAAACTGAAAGTAGTTGTTACAGAGAGGAAGACTAAAATGTCATTATGTAATCTACCTCTTATGGTAATACAGGGATAGAATAATAAAAAGATGTACATTTTTTTTTTTATTAACCAGGCAGTTTTTGAATAGTTAAGCATGCTTATATACAAGTGATGATAATATAGAAAGTAATCTTGTGACAGTAAGGGATATGAAAGCTGTCTATAGGAGGCTGAGCCTTTACACGTGAAGATTAATAGCTTACAATCTTCATAATAGTTTGATATATGGTAAAATGGTAGGAAGTGATTTATTTGAGTAAAGATCCTAGTTCTAGAGCCCTCTTCTAGCTTTCAAATGGGATGCTTTGAAATTATTCTAAATTTATTTACCTTTTGTAATGAAAATTTTGAGATGCTTATTTGAGACAAAATAAACATTCCTTGATCTTTCAAAATAAAAGGTGAAGGTGCCTTAGCTACCTCCCAAATTGTGTAAGTTAGGTTCATCATTTTCCACTGCCACAACAGATGTCAGCTTCCTATAGATTTTGTAATTGATCCATTTGCTTAAGAAGCTTTGTTCCTATAGAGTATTTGAAATATACATCAGGAAATTGAGAATAATAATCTCCATAAGGGTTAAAATGCCTTTGTAAAATGTAATTCTGTAAAGCTTTTTAATTTGACTTTCTTTTAAAAATCTTATACATTTTTCTACATTAATAGACTAATCAGAAGGTTTCTGTACTGGACTCTAACTAGATAATTATATTAACCTTTCTTATTTTCATTTTATAATGTAATGCATTAGTATACTTACCAAAATCAGGTGAAATCACAGTTCCTCCTGACTTGAATGACTTCACTTATTGAATTATTGAAAATATGGCATTAAAAGTGCTAACAGCATGTTGCTCACCTTTGCTTGCTTTTACTTTGTCATTTTCTTTTTCTTTTTTCTTTTTTTTTTTAACCATGAATAACTCTATTTCTTCTTTCTCAGGAAGATTCAGAGAGGGCCAGGTATTCTCACCGGTCCAGTCGACATTCATATTTGGTTTGTGTTGAAACTGTATATTTTTCCCTTGCCACAAGACCCTTTTTAAAAAGTACAATTACAGTTATTCTTAGGAATAACCGTAGAAATTTAGAAATAAGATTTCATGTTATCAGGAAGTAGATGATGCTTTAAGCATTAATGATTTGGGGAACAGTATTTTAAATCACATGTGTTTTTGGTAATTTATTTGGTGTTTTATTTGGTATTTTATTTCCATCAATTCTACATAAGTATTTTACGAATTTGTTTGCATTTGTAGCTTTGCATTTAAAAAGAATATCAATCATCACATTTTCAATCTTTGAAGTTAGTGCCGTGAATACCTTGAATTTTTTTTCCTTTCCTGTTTATAATTTATGGTATATTTATAATTTATGGTATATTTCCGTGGCTAAGAGTAGGGCTTGGAAATTGCTTAGAAATGCATGTTATTAAACATTTGATTCCTTAGAATAACTTATATGTAATGACAGTTTTTAAGGGTCATCTTTTAGTGTTTGTCCAGTCTAATATTAAATGAAGTATTTCTTTAAAAATATCGGAATAATTCTACTCATTTAGGTTTCAGATATTGCCAATTAGTAAGAATTAATTGTTTTCCCTTGAAGGGTAGAGCATTAAAATTCCTGCAGAAGTTGTCCATTGTCTCTATGGTTACTGTTACACATCAAGAGCTTGTGGTTGGATGTGAAGCTGCTATTAACAATACAAGTTTAGATGGCAGTGTTCTCATGGGGAGAAGTTCTCTTTTCCATTTTGCATCTGTCAGAAGTTCTGTCAATAGAAAAAAAGTTAATATTGCTTCTGTTGACTCAGTCATCCAATGAATAAGTACCACTTACTGAAGATGAATAATAATAGTTTGTAACTTCAGCTTTCATTCCAAGTTGATGCTTGTGGTCTTCTGCTTGCTGTTGTTTTCTTGCACTTCAGATATTACTGTTTCTATAATACTTGTGGGATAAAGAGGAGTACCTGAAGATTTGTTCTGAAGAAGAAATACGGTGCAGGGTTTTATTTATTTGAGAATGTGGGAATGTATTATTTGCTAGTGACAAAGCCTTGCCTGAATGCTGTGAGATACCCCAAACACTGGTAGTAAAATTATTTATTGTTGTACAGGCTTTCCCGTACCCTTTTTGAATGAAAAATGGTGCTAAACCATAGCTGTAGTAAAGGCCCAAGGGTGGGACAAGTTACAGTAATAAAAGGGTTGGGTCTGTTTAGTTCAGTGGAATAAAATGTTCTGGTGACTTAAATAAAAATGATTGCCACTTACTAAGAGCAATTAGAA